AGCTTCCCCCGTGTCTGACAGAGCCAAGGCCAGCCGGCTCCAGGAGGGACCCATTGCTGGCCCAGGCTGAGCCCATCAACGACAGTGGTAGCACCTCTGGGAGAACTGTTGAAGAAGGGGAAGAAAAATGCACAGTGGCAACTTCAGCTGGAGAGAGAGGAGTGAGATTGTGAGAGAAACAACTCTGCAGATCAGTGAAGATGGAGGGGCAGGAGGTGCTCCAGGCGCTGCAGCAGATTCTCCCGCAGCCCGTGGGGAGGCAGCTGTGCCCTGCGCCCGGGGAGGCCTCGGGGGAGCAGATCTCCTGCAGCCTGGGGAGGAGCCCACGCCAGAGCAGGGGGATGCCCGAAGGAACCTGGGACCCCGTGGGCAGCCAACGCTGGAGCAGGCTCCTGCCAGGACCTGTGGCCCTGTGGAGAGAGGAGCCCAGGCTGGAGCAGGTTCACTGCAGGACTTGGGACCCCGCGGGGGACCCACGCTGGAGCAGTTTGTGAGAGGAGCTGAAGCTCATGGGAAGGGCTCACATCGAAGAAGTTCATGGAAGACTGTCTCCTGTGGGAGGGACCCCACGCTGGAGCAGAGGAAGAATGTGAGGAGTGCTCCCCCCGAGGAGGAAGGAGCAGCAGAGAGCGTGTGATGAACTGCCCGAAACCCCCATCCCCTGCCCCCTGTGCTGCTGGGGGGGAGGAGGGAGAGAAATCAGGAGTGAAGTTGAGCCCAGGAAGAACGGAGAGGTGGGGTGAAGGTGTTTTTAAGATGCAGTTTTATTTCTCATTATCCTACTCTGATTTGATTGGTAATGAATTAAACTAATTTCCCCACGTTGAGTGTGTTTTGCCTGTGATGGTAATTGGTGAGTGATCTCTCCCTGTCCTTAGATCAACCCGCCAGCCTTTTGGTATATTCTCTCACCTGTCCAGTTGAGGAGGTGAGTGATAGAATGGCTTTGGTGGATGCCTGGTGTCCAGCCAGGGTCAACCCACCACACTATTGTTCAGCTTAAAAATGAAAGAAACCAAACATTAATCCTACACGTGCACATAGAGGCATAAATCAATGTGAATAGACCATTAGTGCAGTTTTGGGATCTTATTTGTTCTATAGTATTTTGTTAGTGCCCAAGACCATGGGATTTTAAAGTTTTGGCAGAACATTCTTTCCTTTTCTTTTGTTCCTGAAGATGTTTCTCACCATTTGAATTACTCAGTGAAAAGACAAATTGAAGAAATAGTTGACCTTTTGCAGGAATCTTAGGGTGAGGGAGAAGGGGATCACCTATCAGAATATGGTCTAACATGTCCTGCAGCACAGGCAGAAGCCAGATTTGATTGGCTCTTTTGTCAGAAGAAATTGAAGTCTGGGCAACATTCCCAGGATCGGCATTATAAGAATGCGCGCCTCTGGGTCTGTGTGCCAAGTGATCAGATTCGATTGTTGCTTCCATCCACGCCTGTTAGCCAGGTGCTGCGTAGGTCCGAGTGAGGGTCTGAAACATGCTGGGAGAGCTGACTCTGAAATCTGCCTGGCGGCTAACCGGCGTGGAGCCTTGGTATTTTGGGGTAAAGTTTTGAAACACAGGAAGGCTCGTGAAGTTGATGGTATCACAACTAGCCTTGTGTTTTCAGGTGTGTCAAATGCAGCAGAGGACTGTTAATTGTAAGGCCAGTCTGTCTTCAGTATCCTGAGCAGAAGTTTGTGTTGTGGATGGAGGAGCTTTGGGTTGGGCACCTCCGAAGTTGAGGTAAAAGAGTTGAGCTTGAGGTGCCACTTGAAGAGCAGAAGTATGCATCGGAGAACTGTTTTGGTTACTTGGAGAGCTGTGGGATATGATGAATGAAAGAGCTGCACAGCAAATGCTTTAGTCCAGTTGGTTTTTGACAAAGCTTGGCAAGTCAGATTCTGACTTGACCTCTCTGCACTGAATGAACTGTCTGGCTTTGATGCCTCACCAGTGCTGCAGGCTGATGGGACTGCCTTTGAGGGTGGCCTACTATATAAACACTTTTGTTTTAACAGCGAGCTGTTGTCAGATTGCTTTTAGTCCCAAAGTATGGAGAGTCAGCTGATTTTTCAGCTTCTACTGGCTCATTGGATGAAGAACATTTAAGACAACTGAGAGGAATAATGCGGCTTCACTGGGAGCACAGAGCATGCTCTCACAGCACAGCACGCTCTGGAGTCCTTCAGATTGCTCCAGATGGTGTAGCTAGGTATGCCAAAATAAAATAAATATTCAGGATACCCTCTAAGAATTAGGACGCTTAACCTCTTTCTACTATAGGAAATTACTCTGCCAGGAGAAAGTAAAAGCCTGGTGGAATTTTCTGGCCCTGCTGCCGAGGCAGACGTTCATTATAGGTCTTAAGGAGGTTTATGTCTGGATTCTCATGGCCCCAGTAATGAATCCCTTGTGTCCCTAGATGCTGTGGGTGTAGGGTGCATTGTGATCTGTGCAGATTCATATCATTCTGGAAAATGCATCCTGTCTATCTGGTACTGCACAGTCCCACCTCACTCAGGAATTTGTGTTCTAATACTTCTAGATACGCCCTGGGGCAGCGATTTTTCTCAGGAACTTGATCATGTAGGACACACTGTCTTATATCTCAGTGTGAAACTCGGATAATGAAACAGAAACATGTAATGAGCAGGGAGAGCCTGGCTGCGAAGCAGTGTGTTGGTCCTTCAGATATTACCTGGTCAGGGCATCTTCTGTCTGTGTGAGCTTGCATGGTTGTAAGGCCTCAAAAGAAAAAGCTCAGGTTGTTCTAGGGCACAGATTCTGTCCTCCTGTGTAAAGGGACCAAATGATGGGATGTGAAAAGTCTCTGAGATCTCCTGAGCAGACAAGTTCTCTAAGGATGTGGAAGAGCCAGCCGTCTCTGTTCTGAAAAAAACCTCTCAGTGTGCTAGGCTTAGCCCATTGAGTTAACATCCAACTAATAATTTTCATGAAATAAATAAAAAAATTCCATCTCAGAAGAAATTTTTCCTAAAAGGATGAATACCTGACTTAAACAAAACCTCACAAATGATTACAATTTTTTTCCTGCCATAAGTAATCAGTAAAGACAACAGCATTTAGGATTTTCAAGAACGACCTGGAAGTGGTGGAAAGATCAGTAGTATCCTCCACTCATTTGAGAGTCTTCACCAAATTTATAGAAGGGCCAAACCACTGTAATACAGATAGGAAGAACAGGATGACACGAGGTGCTGGCATATTGTGTTATTCCTTGCATTCTTAATTCTGTGCAAGAATAACCCGGTGAGTGTTTGTTAAAACTCAAGGGAATGCAGGTATAAAATCAATTTTTTAAATTAGCTTCTACATAGGTATATTTTTACTTAAGTGATTTTGAAAAATTTTGGACTAGCTTGCCTCAAGGATTGGATAAATGTGCTTGACCCATATTTCAGGCTCTTATTTCCTATCTTGCTACCTGGAAAACTTGGTGTCCAGTAGCTGGGGAGTGATAATGCTTGTTCAGCCACTTCCTTTCCTTTGGTGTAACAGTCCCACTGAACCTGGAAGGGCTGTTAGTTCAGTGAGATGTTTTTACTCCTATGCCTTCGCTGTTCCACGGACAAAACCACCAAGCCCCAGATGCGCCAGGGGCAGTATGAGGTTTGCTTTGCCCAGCATGCTGTGGGGTTTTTCTCACATGTAAATTTGTTGAAAAGGTTTTTCTTGAGAAATTCACATCCTTGCCTGTGAATTCTGAAGTAGGGTTTGGAGATTTGGTATGGCTGCTTTCCCTTTAAAATCCCACTCAAATCTCACAGCTGTAATAGACTTCTAAAAGCAGTATACTCCCTATTTTTCAAGCTCTTTCTAGCTTACAGCAACTCTGGCTAAATTTTCTGGTGGCAGTCATGAGACTGTTAACTGAAGCATCTCCTAGGCTGCTGCCTGGGCCTGCAGAGTATTTTCTTTGTGCATAAATTTCTAACAGAAAGCCTTTTGTTTAGGACTATAGTCTACCTGAAAATGAGTAATTCTGCTTCTTAAACCTCTCTGTGGTGAACAGAGCCATCAGCTGGCCCGAACTCTCGGCGTACAGAGACACGGTGCTGTCACCACCTGCTTTTCTCCTCCTCCCCTTTACTCCCACCCCAAATCTCAGATGATGAAGGTTGTTGCCCCTGGGGTTTTTTTTCTGATTTAACTGTTCGTTATCACTCTAGCCGATGTCTGTGACATGATCTGAATTTGCAGTAACTTTAAAAGAAATTCTGTTTCATAAATTAGGGTAAAGGTATGATCAGCTGAACAGCTGACCCTGCAGAAATGAAGCTCTGGTGGCTGGAGGAAGTAAAAGAGCAGGAAAGAAGTAACTGGAAGCTGTAGTGAATGGAGAAGTATTTAACCCATAGTTTGTACCAATGAGTCCTTGTATGATCATGTACTTAATTGCAATTGAATTACTTTACCTGTTATGTTACTTTAATTAAAGTTACTTTCCAAACTTGTGTTCCTTAAATACATATAATTTTGCATTTAAAATGCACAACTGAGTTAGAGATGTCTGCTAGAACAAAGATTTGCCATTTGCACTCTTCTGTTTCTAAAAACTGTGGTGAGTCAACTTTCATTTAAAGGTAGAGAGAGCCCTGCTGAGCATCCTGTCTTCCTGCAATTGCAGATTTCTCACATGGCAACCTTTCCTGCCTGTTTCTGGGCTAGAAGCTGCAGTGCTTATTCAGCTATGGATTTGTCAGGGTACTGGATGTTTATAGCCACGTCGGGAATGCCCTTCATCTAGCTCTGGTGTATTCTACTGTAAAATTTCTAATTCACACTGAAGAACTGAAGGTTACTTTTTTTTTTTTTTTCACTTCTCAAAATAAAGGGCAGTTTTCAAATTTTGGCATATTTCTTGAACTGTTACAAGTAGCAAGATGGTTTCAGGAGGAGGAGATAATTTAAGATAAAGTAATTGAGGTGAAAAAGGATGAGGCAGTTGGGGCAAAAGAGAATTAATTGGAGGAACAGAGCGCAGGGAGAGTCCAGTGCCAGGAAAGTTTTTTGCTTCAAAAGAGGAGATGAGTTGGATGCGGCCCTGGAGCTGGAGGAACTGGAGCTACTGAGAAGGGAAGCAGGATCTAGAGATAAGTGGGAAGACAAGAAAAAGGAATCCACAACTTGAATACGTTTTCCCCCTCGGGGTGAGTCACTCTGACTTGAGCTTTGGCACTGCAAGTCCCTCCTGTCTGTCCGTCCGGGTCCTGGTGTTGGTTCCTGCCCTGGGCTAGCAGGGTTGCCCTTTCCCCCCACGGACAGAGTGAAGCTTAAATCAGCTCAGCCTAGATGTTCTGACTGTTCCCTGGCAGAAAACTTACAGTTCTCTGGGTTCACTAGGTGTATTAATCTAATTCAGATTTTTCTTTTTGTAGACTGATATGTCTGAGTTAATAGTATGTGAAGATCCCAAATGTAATCTTAACACTTAGAAAACTTCCCACATAAATCTGGATTTAATATGTAACTAGTGACAAGCACTGTGAGGCTCTCTGCTGTTGAATTTGTTTGCTTCTTGTAGTCATTGTAGTAGACCAAATTCTAATAAAGGGAAGGTGAAGTTGTGCAAATAATTTACTCAATAGCTTTACTTTGTTCTCGATCACACTTTTCTGAAGGTGCCATCAAGAATGACAGTAAATATTTTGAAAAACTAATCCGTTAATAACTAAGCATTTTGGATAACCGTATAAAATAAATATTTAAGTAAATTGATTTTTATAGAATTAAGTATCTGCTTAAGTAGCATCTCATGCTGATGAAGAAATGGAAGAAATAGTAACACAGTGAGGTCACTTGCATAAATGGATAATTGCCATTAACTTTAGTCCCATATCTGACAGAGGTTTTGTAGTTCCCCTTTAAAAAAAGGGAGCGATGAATTTGGAACTGACACAAAAATACAGTAAGTCATAAAAGAGGCTGTGTCCACATTACCCAGCAATATGCTGTAATAGGATCAGATCTGTCAGGTGCTGAGACCCTGGCATCCCCACTGTAGAGGTTGCAAGGGTTTTATTTCAAGCTGGTCCTCGTCTGATTCTGTGGCTAAATTCCTGTTAGTGGCTGGAGCGTGTACAGTGCACACCTGAAGCTCATTCTCTGATCTAGTTTTATTCAAAAGAAATCTGGTTCATGTGCTTGGAGACTGCTTTGCAATGTAAAGCAAAGCGAGGAAAATAGGGTAGTTTGGGAGATTGACTTCAAAAGTACAGTCCTGATTTGAATTAAAATGCTAATGTAGACATACCTAGAGTTGTGCAGTTCAGGAAGTTCACCAAAATAGTTTTGGCAAGAGAGCTTGGATGTCTGATACATGACGGTGGGATCGGGAGATGCAATGAACGCTCACAGAAATTAACAGTTCCTGAGAATTTCATCAGTTTGGGAGTTGGGAAAAGATATAAAGAGGATATAAGTTTTAAAACAAAACAAGACCAGCATTGTTCAGAAATGCCTTTACCCTTCTAAAGCAGCCTCCTTTAAGCAATGCAGTGGCCTTTGTATAAATCAGATACTGGATACAGGGGGATTGGAGGTGGAGTAGAAACAGAAAGCACACCAACCTCTGTCTGTTTATAGTTGTTTCTTTTGGAGTCCAACAGAAGATGAACTCAAATTCCTTCATTATAGAAAGAAAGAGATGGATATATATTTTCAGATTCTTTACAAGTTTACTTTTAAAAAAGCAGAAACAGTCTCCACAAACGCTTTTGCATGGCAAGAATGTTTTTTCGGTTTTACAATGGAAGAAATAACAGTCAAGTGTCAGCCTGTCTGCTCAGTGGAGACAGTTGTCTTTAAGAACTGGTGCTATCTGATACTCAGGATGGTTTCAGGTTACCATTTTACACAAATTTATTATTTATTACCAAGACTATTAAACCTCAGTGTGTGAGGAACAGTGCTTATAAATTGACATGGGGGCAGAAGTATTTTGACCTTCTTGTAATGGTAAAGGTCTTTATAGTGCTTAGAAAGGAAAAGAGAAAGGAAGAAAGTAGATACTGAAACTTTTCCTCTGGTGGAAATCATGCAGGTATGTGGTTTGCACATCCCTGTTCCCAGTACTGTTGGCCTTGGCGTTCAAAACACAACCAAAAAATCAAACCTGCCCTCTTGTTGGTACTTTTTTCCAAATTATTGGCTTGATATTTCTTCCCAGGAGGAATGATGCCTGTGTGCAGCTACAATAACCCTATTGAGTGTTTCTCAGTAGATTGCAGCTCCCTGTGTACTAGAACTAATGGAGTGACACCGGTGGATTTTTCTTGTGAAGTTGCAGTCTTACAGATTCTCTGGGGTTTAATAAGATTGACTTGTGCATTATTTGTTTGGTTTTCCCCCACAATATGTCCTTCCTCTAGACCGCTGCCTGACCAAAAATAATAAAATTAATAAAAAATTAGAGAAGACGGGTATCTGGAGGCTTGCAAACCTGGCTGGTACAGATTGGGTGAATCGAGGAGTTACCAGAAGAGATCAGAGAGGCTTGTTTTCACAGGAAACCTCTCTACAGAGATATTTAACACCTTTCTTCCCTGACGCCACCATTCATGAGTGAATAGTTTAATGATGTATTATAAATAAAATTAATTTTAAATGCTTTTCAGTGTTAGTATTTTACAAGTATACTGCAACAGTACAACTATTAGAACTGCAGGAGTCTAAGAGGTTTTTTTCTAGCTAGGAGCAGTTCACAATAGCAGATGGCTTCTGTAATTCCAGATACCAGTATCTGCAATGTGCAGTTCACATTATGTGCTATAAACTGTCAGTACAATTTCTTCAGAGATGGCTTAAGTCAAATTTTCTCCCTGTTTTCCAGATTAACAGAAATATGCATTTCCATAATACCACCTTTGAACTAATGAAGTGGAAGTACAGATGAAAACAGTCTGGAGGAAGCTTGAAGTACAATACAGTTTCATTCAGTTTCCAAATTCTGAGGTAAGGTCAACGCATGCGAAATTTTATTTCAAGTTTTTCAGGGGTAAAAAGCACATGATAAGCAGCCACTGTATCTTTCTTATAAAAACTTCTGAGCCTTCATTTTTTATGCTAGTGACAGTCTTTAATACTACACTGAAACAGCTGTTTGATCTACTGTCGGGGTTTTAGTTATGAAAAAAGACAAAACAGCGTCTAGTAGGGAGACATCTATTATGGAAAGATACACTGGGAAAAAGTTACCAGAACAGAGGAATGTATTTGGTACAATCTGTGGTCATGGCTATTACTAATGCTGTAGCTGAAATAAAGGACTGATAGCACAGATAAGTGATATGCCTGTTGGGCATCTTGTCTTCTGGTACAGTGTTTGATTGGTACAAAACGTTATTATGCTGGTTTTTGATTATTGCTATTAATAAAACATTACAGACTTTTTTCATAATTAATTCCCCTGCCTGGGTATCTTACAGGCATTCCTGTTAATGATTATGAGTGATGGGGCTGTTTGGTTCATAGTTTGCTGCTTTTTTTCCTTTATGTAACTAAGAGGCTAAGTAGAATAACCCTGAAATGTCAGATTTCTGATATATTTCAGAATTCTTTTATGCAACATTATATCTGTTCAAAAAATATGATGAGTGCTGGCCCTCCTGCACGTAGCTTCAGACTGTTCCAGTTCTGCTCAGCAGGACCCGAGGCAGTGCCCACATACAGTGGTTTTTTGAGCCGTGGTTCTGTTGGCCCTTCTCACTTTCCCCCGTTCGGGTAGAAACGGAGTCTCTACAGCAGTGGGACAGCTTCTGAGACTTACCCTAGCAGGCTTCATCAGTCATTATCTGCTCATTCTCAAAGGAAGTTTGCATTTCAGATTATGTTTTCTTGCAGACTTTGGCCGCTGTTACAAACAGGTGTTGAACCACTTTTCAAAAAAAATAGAAACTTATAACAGGACTGTGCATTTTTCACTGATGAAGATCAGCCAAGGAATCTTAACGTACATTTGACATTCGTACATTTGACTGACAGAGAAGCATGTATCTTCTTCTGGAGGTCAAATTTTAGAGAAACAGCTCCAGGGGCAAGATCAGCATTGATTTCAGCGAACCCATATTTTATCTTTAGCTGACTTACTGCTCAAAACCAGTAACTTTCGGCATACCATAAGCAAATTCCCAAAGCTATGAAGTTAGAATTCATGTTGACAAGTGCAAAATTTGTAGTCAATTCCCAGTACTTCAGGTGAGGAAGATCATCACCTGGTCTACGTGCTGAATGCATATCTTGATGATGCGATAGCTTCTTTCACCTTGTTATTTTATGCCTGACAAGACGACAGGCAAGTACTATTCCTTCTGTTTCAATCACCTGTTCCTAAAAAGATGCTGGATCATTCCAAGGCTGGTTGTACTATCCTGCAAACGAAGCAACAGCTAGCATAGGTTAAGCATACTTCTTCAGGAGTAAGGGATTTGGAGTCAGTGCTGGAAATTACAGACTTTGCACTGATACAGACCCAAGAACTATTTTCCTCCCTTTTTTACCATGAGGAGGGGAGCAGGTCATCTCTCCTCCAATGAGAGAGACGATAATTAACGGTTCTCAAACTGTTTATCAGTGGAGGACTCTGCAGATGAGGCACTGTCTTAAAAGATTACTCTTTTTGTCTACCAGAAAGAACAGTTTCTATTTTCAGGCTTGTAATCACAGGCAAATTTAAAAATTGAGATTAAGTGTTTGGGGGAGCCTGTGCATACTAAAAGAGTGTGTACTTGAAGAGCTATTTGTGACGGTCTGCCACGGATACTAGAAACACAGCAGCCATTTAGAAGCAATTGATATGTTAAGGATAATCTGTGTTGGGGTAAGTCTCAGGGTTTTATAGGATTAGAATGGTAGAGGATCATCATAAAACAGTTCTTTCATCACTCTGCACTCTGTTCTTAATGATCCACTCCGAAAGCATTTAGAGCTGATGCCGTATTTAGAGAAGTAGTGCTGTAAATTTTATTAACGAAAAATCTCACTCCTTTCATGTAAGAGATTTGAGGGAATTGTAGTGCCTGGAGAGATGCCATGTCCAGGTGAGCTCTCTGAATAAAGAGTAGCTGTAAATGCTAATAAGTATGTCTTTCAGATATCATCTATATTTCCCTCTTAAGTGTCTTCCAGATGCTCTCCTGAATTGAAATGAACTGAAAAATGGGTGGATGCCCTTCTGTTACACAGAGGGAAAGAGAAAAGGGCTTATTTTGATGATACTACTTTGCTGGTATGGCTGGGCAAAAGCTTTTTGGTATCAAGTGGCAGGACATAAGCATACACAGTTAGGTAGAAAACTCTGGATAAAATATTACTTTAAAAAAGGAAAGACGGAACAAACCCAACACACGCCCTCCACTAAACCACCCACCCAAGTTACCTTTTTTCTGTTGTTGTCCACTATCTTTTTCAATAGTCATAGTATTAGCAACAGTTGAGGGAAGGAGGTTGTTTTCTGCTTTCCCTGTATGTAAATAGTTGATCTGACAAAAAATCAAATAGCAACACCACTCCACCACAGAATTTCCCTATGTTGACACAGCTTGTCCTGTTTTTACTAAGGATTATGAGCCTGTAAGTCAACAAGCACAAAAATGGCAAGATGGGAGTTGAACAGAGCCAAACCCAAGTCCTTTTGCTCATCATTTCTGTTCCTATGTATGTTACACATCCTGTTTCCATACCTTTATACTTGAATTTCAGTAGCAAGGTGACAAAGACAAAAAAATGTTAGCAAGGCCAGAAGAGGGAAAAACTATACATAACGGATGTGGACAGAGTACATTGTCCTATGTGTTGATCAAATATTTTATGTACTTACTGAGAGAGAGATTGGTGGTATTGGATTTCTTAGCCTGACCTGCTTTCTGATGGGGTTTTTTGAGCCCGTTTATGATTGACACCCACAAAATCCTGTGAAAGTGAATTCTTTATTTTTAAATGTTTGTTACACACAAAAGGTGTGGTTTGTTTGTACCTAGTGCTGCCTGATAACTTCTTTGTTAGTTCCTAGGTTGTACAGAGAGAAATCTATCTGGTTATCTCCTCCATGTTGAGGTTCAATGAAGAGTATCATAAGGCTGTCAAGAGGGTTTATTTCAATCTTTAATATGGCATCTCCCTGTAATGCAGCCTTTCGTTGTACTTTTGCTAGTTCTACTCTGTTTTTTGAGACAGCATAAAGTTTTCTTACATCTTAGTAGAGTGAATGTCTGTCTTTTAATTGCGACTGTGAATGTGGGCAAGTCTTTAGCATTTCTAGTGTGATGTAACTGGAGAAATACAGCTTAGTATATTCCAAGTAGTCAGTATGGCTTGTATGCTTAATTGCTTTCTGCAGCTGGTCTTCCATATCACCTTGTCTTTCTGTTTAACATAAAGATTTTGTCTGTATGATTGTTTTGTTTTCTTTGGGGGTATTGGAAGCTGGACTTGGATGACTTCCCCCTATTAAAATGTAAAATACTTCCTTGGTTTGACTTGCCTGTAGCAAGGCATCAGCTGGAAGAATATTGAGGCCCTCTAATGTACAACTACTGAACCAATAGCTTTAGTTGACAGTTTAGGAGTAAATTCCTACTTTTCAGATTCTAGTGTCTGTAGAGTTGTCACCGTTCTGTCTCCTCTCGAACCAGTGTGGTAGAACCATTCCTTCTCATGTGATGGAGCTTGCTTGCTCAGTAGCCATGAACACATGCCAAGTGTTTCAGAACAAGACCCGCCAGTGACGAGATGGTGTTCTGCAATGGTTTTCTTAACCATCAAGACTGTGTGAGATCTCCTCCGTTCAGTTAGGAAGCAATTACTCTGCAAGGCCGGCTTAGCTGCCACTGCATTTCCTTGGTGGCAAACTATTTGTTAGGAGGTAATTCCATAACAAACAGGCTGAGCCACTTCAGGCTCAAACCACAAATGGGAAATGCAGGTCAGTGTGCTAAAAGCATTCTCCAGGAGTGGAGTAACCAGAAGTCCACGTCGTCTTTTGAATCAGTCGATCAGAACAGGAAGCGCCAGTGATTCCTCTGCGGAGCTGCTGTTCGTGGCACGCTGGCATGCGTTTGGGGGGTCCCTTGGCAGTATCCTCCTGACAGTGCTTTTCTTACCTCCACTGGGCCTGGCTTAGGCCAGTTTATTCCAGTAGCGTGACCATCTCAATCTCAGAGAGCATAAAACAAGAGCCTTCCCTATTGCTAGGCCAGTATTGTCAAGTTCGGGAAAGTTGAGTTAAGCTGGCCAAGAATCCCAAGTTTTACAGTTTTTTATGTTGGTTCTCTCTGGCTCAGAAGCTCCTGTTGAAAGTGTAGTGGGTAACACATCTCGGAGAAATCTGGGCAAGCTCCTATGTGTAGTAACAGGAGGCTAAATTTTGTATCTTATTTCTGTAGCTGAGGATGGGAATTTTACAGGGTGGGATAGAGAACTAATTCAAGAACTTATGGTGAGACAAGTAGACAGGAAATGCATTTACAGTACTGTCTGAAGATGTTTGTATTGATAGGAATGTATTTTACAGTCAGATTATTGTAACATGGAGATGTAATTAGAAACATACCAGATTTCCTTTTTTGTTGATTTAATGTTTAGATTAAGAATGGTAAGATGTGGTTCTCTACTAAACATTAATACAGGGATTGTTTTTGTTTTCATTTCCAGAGTTGCTTTTCTTTCCTTCTTTTTTTTTTTTTTCTTGAGGCAAAACCAAGCAGATAAATATTCTTTCGGATGGCACTATTTAGAAACAGTCTTAAGACGACAGTTATGGACTAGGTTCCCCTGAGCTAGGTTTAAAAGTCAAGAATATCCTTCTCCAGAGGTTCCAAGGTTGTGATAAGTTTAATGAAATATTAGGTGAAATGTTTCTGAAGCTTTTTAAGTTTATACAGAATTTCATAGAAATAAATCCAGGGGTCCAATTAAAATGTATTTTAAAATAATAAGCAGCTACCTGTTAACTTACC